TCATGATTTTAACACTTTCTCCATCTTATAACCCCGAATATCACACATTCAACCTCTACCAATACCCTCTATGATGTTCTTAATGTTATTGATAGTATGTATTACCAATTATGTGCACAAAAATTTATAGGTATTCAACAAAGGTATGACAGGAAGGGAAGGGAGGGGGGTCAGAGGTGATTGATGCAGTCCTTGTCACTGCCAAGATATTTGTATCGGATGGGCCTATCCGATGTTCTATCACCCCAAGATATGCGATGCAGTGTCAGTAGGATTAGGTGCGATGGAATTACTATCGGTATCTAATGCTCTGACACCATATTGCAGTGTAATTCCATCGCACCTAATCCTACTGACACTGCATCGCATATCTTGGGGTGATAGAACATCGGATAGGCCCATCCGATACAAATATCTTGGCAGTGTGTGGAGTGAGGAGACCAGCTGGGGGTCTCAGGGAGCTACCATGCGGGGTAAGATGCTTGTGGAAAGAGTGCAGATTATGCTAATGGAAGATTTCCACCACTTTCCACAAATATCCACATGAGCGTTTCCACGGTTAACAGGCCCGATTGTCAGGTACTCCCAGTATTCCCTTTCCAAACACTGAACACCAACATAGCTGATGGGTTGGACAAATTATGTAGATCAAAAGGGACAAGCATCGGTCATTTTTCTCATTGAGTTACGGATACATAGCCTTACGGAAGTAACTTGTACCGAATTGGCGTCAAACCTAATCCCAAATGTGAACACTGCGAGGTAACCGAAAACTCGAGTACAGTACTTGTTTTACTACCGGCGATGCGATCAAAACACAGGGTAAGAATTTCGAAAAAAACGATATGAAAAGAAAGAATTCGATCGTCGCAGTCTTAAACAACCCCCCCAAAAAACATATCCTCACCTAGTACGATATCTAGAGGTGAAGGGATGGTTCATGCACCTCCAAACTTGGAAAAAGATATATATATAACTTATAGGAAAAAAAAAAAAAAAAAAAAAACTTGAAAACTCAATCTGTAGTCTCCTTTTATACCTTTATGCACCAACTTTCCTCTCTACTCCACTTTCAATTTTATTGTACATATTCCGCATCACTTCTTTCCAGGAAGAACTTTTATGGAGGCTTGGTAGACCACCCATAGACGATAACACAAAAGGGGATTGTAGATACAACACTACAATTTTAGAATAAAGAGTTGTATGTAGCGCGGATTATTGAAACAAAAGCACTCAAAGGAAAAAAAAGCCTCGACACAACACACTCTCAATTGAACCTCTCATGCTTCATCGAGTCCAAAGTTTGGTCGTTGCCCAGTTTGCTCCTATGCTAATTCTTACTTTTTTTATGTCTTTTCCACAAGATTGGATTTTTTACGTGCTCATCATACCGCGGCATAGCTCATTAGAAGCCTCTAACGTGTTTTACCAGGCCAAAAACCTTTATCAAGAACTTTAGCTCATTCGTGAGTATCGGGTTAAGAATGAAGATATAGTACACTCGAGTTGTCTTTATTTGTCAAGTGAGGCACTATCGACCTCGAAGATAGTGTTAGACAATACAGGAAGTCCATCTTCACAGTATCTCAAATCTAAGGGGCTGGCTGAGTAGAATAGATGGTAAGGTAAGAGACTCTGACTGGAAATAACCACAGGTGTGAGGTGATATGTTCTAGCATACAATTTTCATATGAAAAGGTCATGTTGGTCACATTGATCATCCTATCAATATACCTCTTAGTCTCAAGACAGTCTTGCTGACCTTAATCGTGGTGGCTTAGGATATTGCTTACATTGAGATTGTAAGAGGGTCTGAAAAGGAAGATACTGCAAAACCGGTCATCAGCCGAGATTCTTTTGATTCCACTGGGCGATGGTGGATTGATAGGGTTCGAATTTAGGTACGGTTGACGTGGTTGAACAAATATTGATCTTTCCAGCATCATCAGATTTTGTAGCCTGCTGATGAGGTCTACTTGGTGAAGGTGAATGTCTAGACCTCTTTGATCGAGATTCCTGCCGTCGGGGACTTGTTGAACGAGAGTTACGCCGTCGGGGACTTGTGCCATGAGATCGAACATCGCTCTTACTGCGTCGCGAGTGTTGACTTTTCTCTGACGGACCAACAGCAGACCTATCTGGATGATCGTTAGTTCGGCCGGTGGCTACAGCCGACGAAGAAGCCTCTGAAGGCTTCATCTTGTTCATCTTCTTAGTGCATCGAGAACAAAGGTTCAGCTTCACCTCAGCTATCTTTCTCGTCCCGTCTTCGACATATCCGAATTGAGTTTGAAGTGTTTGTAACGCTAAGCTTGGTTGAGGATGACCATCGAGAGAGATGAATGGTTGCTGTTGACCAAACTCGTTCGCTACTTGACCTGATGACGAAGGTGTATGATGTTTACACTTCAAGTTGGCACACGTAACGTCACCTTTACCGTCCAAGACTTCCCCGGCTGTTCGCCATCGCATAGCGACCTGTAGTCCTCTCAAAGTAATCACAGGTCGTTCAGACTAAACTATCCGAATTCTGGAAGTCTGCATGGATGCAATCGAACGCGCTCACCTTTCCTTCTTTCCATCGTGAGAGATCACAGAGCGCAAGGTCCTTGAAGAGTTGATCGTAAGTCTTCTTAGCCAAACGGTCTTCCCAGCTCAAATCTTGTTCATCAACGTTCCGAATGAATCTGTGATGATGGGAAACATTGTTCATTTAATCTGGTATGAATTCAATTGCAAAAGGCTGACCGATGGTGTTCGATTAGTACTTCGATTTCTGTCTTGCTCTTTGGAAGCTTAGGCGGGGTCCGACCATAGAAGCTGCTTAAGGTTTTTGGGCAGTCAGTTTGGAATTTCTAAGACTCAAAATTAGGATTAACTCAACTTTCTGGCCCGATATGTTGTATCTACAGCTGCTGAAGTTGACGAAGAAGCCTGCATTTGTGAAGGTTGTGTGAGTTGACCAAAAGATGTGAGATGTATGGGGTCTTCGGTGGGTCTTTCGGGGCTCATCCGGGAATGCGTTTACAGGACCGAGGTGTCATCGTTGGTACCGTCTCGGTGCCAGTTTTACTTACCGGCCACTCAAGTAGCCGGTTGAGTGTCCAGAGTTCTTTAGGGTCTTGTTCAAGGCTTGACCCTCAAAACAAACACCCTCACCATGGCACAAACACCCGAACGTATAACTACCATATCCCCTTTCACCAACCAGCCCGTCCTCGAGCGTCTTGGGCCCCTCCCTGCTGACCTTGAAGCCCTGCCTCAAACCTCCACAGCCGCATTCAAAGCCTTTCGCAAGAGTCATCCACTTCTTAGTCAGCGTCAAGCTATCGTGACTCGCGCATTGGCCCTTCTCACGGAGAAAAAAGACGAGCTCGCACACGAACTTACCACGCTCATTGGGCGTCCTATTTCCTATACGGCCAAGGAGGTCTTGACAGCTATCAGTCGTGGCGAATATCTGGTCCGAATTAGCACCGATAGCCTCGCTGATACTCCAGGCGAGCCGGAATCCGGGTTTCGAAGGTTTATACGCAAGGAACCTGTTGGGCCAGTCCTTATCATCTTTGCTTGGAACGTGCGTTGCCGAAATGGAATGTGAATATTTGAGATACACTCATGAATACCGTCAACTGACCCATACGTTTCTGGGACTTTTTGGGTCAATAGTATCCCTACCTCATCCTAGTCAATTCCCTCATACCTGCTATCCTTGCTGGAAACAGCGTCATCCTCAAGGCATCGCCTCAGACGCCTACCATCTCCGAGCACTTTCAATCTGTCTTCCAATTAGCCGGTCTCCCGCCGAATGTCATCACCTTTTTCCATGCTGGCTCTATCAAGCCCGTTCAATCGATCGTCCAGAGTCCCTTGATTAAGCTCATCGCTTTTACAGGCTCACTCAATGCCGGTTTAGCCATTCAAGCCGCTGCAGCATCTCGGATCGTCCCGATCGGACTTGAGTTGGGTGGAAAAGATCCAGCTTATATTCGAGCCGATGCGGAAGTGCGTTGGGCAGCGGAAGAGATTGTGGACGGAGCTGTTTTCAACTCTGGCCAATCATGCTGTAGCGTGGAAAGAGTTTATGTGCACTCGTCAATCTATGAACCATTTGTGGAGGCCATCCAATCTGTCCTGGCCTCATACAAGCTGGGGGACCCTTTCGACCCAGCTACGCAGCTTGGCCCAGTGATCAGTAAACAGAGCAAACAGACGATCGAAGCACATATCTCCGAGGCAATTGCAGCTGGTGCATCTGACCAAACACCTGATAATCCGACCTTCGCAAAACCACCCTCGGCCGGTAACTTTGTTAAACCCACGCTCCTCACCGGTGTGACACATGACATGCGAGTGATGCGCGAAGAAACTTTTGGGCCTGTGATACCAGTGATGTCAGTATCAGACGATACCGAAGCGATCAAATTGATGAACGATAATGAATTTGGCCTGACAGCGAGCATATGGACAAAGGACGTCAAACACGCTGAGAGTTTAGTAGAACAACTTGAGGCTGGTACAGTATTTGTGAATAGGTGTGACTTTCCTTCACCTGATCTAGCTTGGACCGGATGGAAGAACTCTGGTCGAGGTGTCACTCTTAGTAAATTTGGCTTCGATCAATTTATTCGACTTAAAAGCTTCCACTTGAAGGATTATCCTTGTTGAAGTCTCTTTTTTTCACCCATCTTTGGTTTGATCTTTCAACTTTTTATAAGTATACACATTTCAAGTGCAGGTTAGATCAGTCCATGAAAGTTAAAAAGACAGAAAGATAAGTGTTTGGTTTACATTTCACCCTGTTTGATAGATAGTAGAGATGTGGTGAGTAGGTGGTACCAACTGTCAACGAATTACTACCCGCTGTGTGAAAGTTAAGGGTGCTACATATAATTTGGGATTCAAGCAACCAGGAGCCTTTCGGAAGTCAAGCGCGAAAACAATCACCATAAGTTTTGGGGAAGGCGTGCCCTGTGCGCAAAAATCATCAAAAGAAATGCCTCAAGGGTGGATTGAACACCCGACCTTTCCATGATCTAATCAAGGTGAATCTGCAAATATTACGAGTGGAACGCTCTACCACTGAGCTATTGAGGCAGGCATGGGCCGTCGGAGACGCAATTACAAAATTAGAAAAACAATACCTGAAACTACGGATTCTGGCCTCAACATTTGTTTTTTCAGGTGTCTTAGCACGTGTTCCTTGCACACAGTGGTTTATGGCTTTCAGGGAAGTTTACTCTGTTGAGTCATACCACCTAGGTGTTTCATGCCTATATGTGAGCACCTTGCTTCTGTCAGGGAAGATGCCTCACTAGATAAAGGTGGAATTAGTTATGGGCACAAAGGCCAGAAAGTAAAATGGGTTCATAGGCTATCCCAAATGCCCAGAACTACTCCCTGCAAGCCAGATGGGCACTGGACTAATCTATACTTACTAGATATCAGTAGTCCAGTAGTGACCACACTTCCAGCATATTTGCATCACATGGAGGCATGCTAGGTGACATAGAATTTCTCCATGTGATGCTATAGACCAATTTCCAAGGCTCCAACCTTGAGGAATTGGCCTATTGCATTGCATCTAGACATGCTACATCATGTAGCATGACTACATGTGATGCAAATATTCTGATGGTGCCCATGCAAATCCTTACCTTGCACTATCCAGTGACCAGTTCCAGCCTCAGGATTTATCCTCTACTTACTATTTCACTCTTGAGAACCCTTCAGCAAGAGTAAATAGCAAGTAGTGATGAAAGGCTCTATGTCAGGGTGGCTAATCTATGAGTCACAGTGCGGTCTAGTTCACATACCTAGGGTGAGTCCTGACTGAGTCTGTCTGGGTATGACAGGTGAGTGGGTAGAAGTTCAAGAGGGTGATCACTTGAACTTGCAATGGCCTACTGTAGGTCAACAGAAAGAAGTGGTAAGCTTCTAGACCTTACACTGTTCCTCAAAGACTAGAAGTCTAAAAGTAGCCTGAGTTCTTATGAACAGCAGGTATCTTGCCAACAAATAGTTGTGAGAACTGGGTCTATGACCAAAAGAGTACACTACAAAGCAAGAGACTTACCTGGTAGTAGAACCAGAAACAAAAGTACAGAGAGGGCTACAGTTGAGATAAAGCAAAAGGATGTAGAACATGATGAAGCTTAGCACTGCCAAGATATTTGTATCGGATGGGCCTATCCGATGTTCTATCACCCCGAGATATGCGATGCAGTGTCAGTAGGATTAGGTGC